AGAGCGGGCTGCCGTTCCTCCTAAAGGGCAGCAGCTCCCCCTGGGGTCCTCCCACACGTCAGGGTTTTCCAGGGGACGAAGAGCTGCCTGTGGAAGAAGAGACTGCCTCCCCACGAGGCTCAGCCCCTCTCCTCCTCTCATGCTGATGGGTTCCAGGGGCTCAGGGTCTTTGGAAGCAGACGTCGTCCATTGGAAGAGCTAAAGGAGTCTCCCCCGCGCCTTGCTGGACATGCTTCGCGCACTCGTGACGCTCCACTCGCCCCTGCATGCTCTGTGCACCGAGTCCCCCGCTGCGCTCCCTGCCCCGTCCCCTCATCTGCTCGTGCCCCGGGGTGGAGGCCGTGGAGGTGACAGGGCCGGCGCGCTGTGAAGAGGCTGCTCTTGCCATGCTGCATTGGGAGTAGCCCATTCCCAAGCGCGGACCCAAAGCTCAATTTCAGACTAGTCCCAGTTTCCATCCTTTCTTGACTTGCTACAGGATCAGAGGGAACAAGGCCTCAGACCGGCCTCCCTAGAACCCACTGGGGTGGCTGCAGCCTCTGGTCTGTGTTGGGAGACGCAGCGCCACGTCCCCCTTCCCTGCTCACTGAAGCTGCGGATGGGTCTGTTCACTTGAAGGCCTCTGGGCATCGCGACGCCTGCGGCGAAGAACAGTCGAGCTTGCAGGTGGCTCTGGTCAAGCCAGGCCACAAGAACTGCTGAGCCCAGGAAGCCGCTCAGGCTCTTTAGAGAGCAGCCCTCTCCTGGGACTCCCAATCGGCATCATCTTCCAGTCAGCCATTGTGACCTTTGTGGTCTTGGCCACGGGCCCTCTCCTGCTCCTGCTGCACGTACCCCTCAGCCCCTGCGGGACCGGGCTCATGTCCCACCTTCCTGGGAGCACATCACCGCGGACAGCTGGATCCTGCAAGTAATATCTACAGTCACTCCATCCAGCCCCCCTTCCCTCCAGAGACCCTCTGACCGGAGTCTCTTGAGGCAGGAGATGCAACCACGTGAAATGAATGGGCAGCAGGTTTAAAACAAACAAAAGGAAGTTTTTCTTCACTCAGCGCACAGTCAACCTGTGGAACTCCTTGCCAGAGGATGTGGTGAAGGCCAGGACTTTAACAGGGTTCCAAAAAGAGCTAGGTAGATTCATGGAGGTTTGGTCCATCAATGGCTGTTGGGCAGGAATGGTGCCCCTGACGGGAGGGATCATGTGAGGATTCCGTTCTGTCCCCTCCCTCTGGGGCACCTGGCAGTGGCCACTGGACGGACAGGACTGGGCTGGATGGGCCCTTGGTCTGACCCCGTCGGGCCGTTCGGATGTTCTTGTGTTAACCCTCCTAGCGCTGGAGGCCGTCAAACTTCAAAGGATTTTATTCCAGCTACTTCCTGGTCCCAAAGGAAAACGTGGGCGGAGACCAGCTCAGGGCCTCGGGACCCGAAACACCCTCGTCTGCATCAGCACTTCACAGTGGGGCTCTGGGGGGGGTGACTGTGTCTGGTGGCACCTCACAGAGAAGGGCGTTTCTTAGGGCCTCGGTTTTCAGGAGCTGCAGCCCACGAGGGCTTGTGCCTGCACAGTCTGAGTCTGTACGGTGCCGCGGGGCACCTAGTGTTTGCTGAAACAGACGAACGCAAGGACCCTCGGAAACGAGGGATAATTACTCTCGGACTTGGGAGTTTGGTCTTCCTGAGCCCCCAGATGGCACCTTTCCTGCGCTTTGTGGTGGGCTGGGGCCACACTGTGTCACTCTGCCTCTTCTGCACCTTTGTCACAGACTCAGGGCTGGGCTACAGTCTGGCATCCGCTGCTCCAAGGGTCTTGCCTTGGCCCTTCTTCCTCAATGGGAATAATCTTTTTCCCTTTCGGTGGTGATTGACCTCTTAGGAGCCAGCCATTCCTCGCCGCACAGACTGCAGCCAGCAGTCCTCTTTCTGGGCTTCCCTTTGCTCTCACACTCACCCCGGGAGCTACTCCGACCTCCTTCACTGCCACAGCACCCCGGCCCGGGGACATCCACCACTGTCCAGCCAGCAGACCCCAGCAAGAGCCATATGGCATGTGACTCCCCTGGCAAGACTGCTCCTTGTGTCTCCAGGCTGGCTCAGACCCTTGTCCAAGCCAGTGCCCGGACCTGGGTGAGCCCACTCTTCTCTGCGCTGGCGGACGGCTCTGCATGGGGCGCCACTTTCACAGCCCTCTCCACAAGCAGCAGACCCTCCCAGCGAGGTGCTCGCCAGCGCCCCTCCCCTGCCTCTGTGCTCCGTTCCCACGTATGGCTGGGCCCGATCTGGAACGGAATCCGCTGCTTCGCGGCGCTTCCTCCGCCCAGACAGCAGACCTTCCGGCATGGAGCAGCAGCGGGAGCTGAGCCAGGCGGTCCTGAGCGATCTCCCGCTGGGGTCGTCTGCGGCCAGCGCTCCTGCCGTCCAAAGGGCAGGCGGCTCTGCGTGAGGGAAGGGCGCAGCCCCCCTCAGCGGGAGAGGCCCTGACTGCTCGTCCAATGCTGTGTGTTTAGGCTCCTTGAAACCGGCTCCCAGCCGTGGTTTGGCTGCACCCCCCTCCGCTCCTGACGCTGCATCTTCTCACCCCTGCGGCTCAGCGCTGCGCCTGCAGGCGTGGCTGCCACACGGCTCTGGTGCAGAACGGCGCTGCCCCCCAGCAAAGAGAAACGTTTCCCTGCCGAGGGGGCAGTGCTTTCCCAGCGGGCCTTCGCAATGACCTCCTCAGGCTGAGTCCCCCCCAAGGGACTTTCAGTCTCCACCCACCCAGCCATCTCCAACCTCTCCCCCCAGTTAAGAGCCAGCTTCTCCAGGGGCCTGACTCGTGTCCTGAGTGCATGGAGGAGTCCACATTTGAGCCTCTTCCGTTCCTTACAGCCAGAGGGCAGGGGCTGGGAGTCGTGACGGCTGACCTGACGCCGTGTCCAGACCCTCTCTCCCTTCCTAAGGTAGCCTCCGAATTCCACATCCGTCTGGTCCCCCAGTGGAGACTGTCCCCGGCCTCACTTCTCAAGAGAAGAAACAAGCCTTTGGACGCTGAGAGCAAGGAGACAGAGTAGCCCCAGAGGGCCTAGTCCTGAGGTGAGGCGACTTCCACGCAGACACCCACCTGGGCTTCAGGGTGCACCTGCAGCAGGCGAAGGGCTTTGCTGCCCTTTGAGAGTCATGGTTCACTCCGACAGGGCTCGCTTCCCCTGTGTCCGCTCGGACAGCCCCTGGCATTCTGCTCTTGCAGCTTTCGGTGCCCGTGTCTTATGACCTGGACTGAATCCACCTCCTCAGCACCACCCTCCGTGCTGCTCAGGGATCTGCCCAGAGACTCTACTGGGAGGAGAGGTTGCTAACCTTGTATCCGGGTGGGCAAGTTCTCGGTCCCGGCCACATCCAGCCCGCCACGCCACTGGATCCGGCCCATGGACACCTGCCAGGACCCCCAGGCCTGCAGCAGCTGCTGATTTAAGTGCAGGGCTGCTCCATGTGATCCCCCCCCCACACCGCTCCTGGTGGCTGGAAACAACCAGCCACTAGGAGCTGAGAGATTTGTTTGGGGGACAGGAGCAGCGCAAGCTGAGCGCCACATGGAGGGAACAGCCTGTATTTTCAAGAGGTCTGGGACTGCAGCCA